CCTTAGATCACAGATAGCAGCATATTCTTCAACTATGTAGCACTACGCAGATCTACAAACTTGCCCTGAGGAGGGGTCTCTGCTATGTATTCCTCAGCACTTGAAATCATTCACTGATCAAGCCTTAAAACGTAACTTTTTTTTTTTTTTAAACTGTAAGTACTTTGCTTTAAAAAAACCTTCCGTGATAAGTAGTAACTACTTTGTGTTGGATATCAGCAGAGCTATGACATACTCGTAGCTATAAATACTGCATCGATATATCTCTTTAAAAAAAACAACAAAAAAAGATTGTTTGTCCTCTTTATATCTTTTTTGTTTGTTTGCTGATACTTGTAATGTTTTGCCTTATGAGAATCTTTTGGAGCCCCACTGGTATGAGGACCAAAGCTGGTACAGCTCAAGAGAAGGCTCCTGCTGTTCTGCTGTGGCTGATGCCGGAACAAACCAAGGTCAGCTACTGTAAGACCGTGGTGAGATTTGGCTCGACTCGTCCCGGAGTTACGTAACGACTAACACAAGCCCACTTTGTCTCACTTGCGCCATGAGATCCTGCGTGCTACTTCGACAGTGAGGTTGATTGATGTGATTAATGGGCATGCTTGAACAAAAAAAGCCCCCCGTCCTCTCTTTGGTGGAAAAGTATTTTGTATATAGAATCATGTGAATGAATAGAGCATTTATTTTGAAAATATTACAATCACAGTATCATTTTTTTCCAAGAACGATTTCAAATAAAGTGACCAAAATGTGATCGTGTTTTGTTGGTCTCATTTGAGATGGGCCTAGGTGGTGCCGGTCAATGTAATGGTACAACTGGCCACCAGGTGGCACACATGCATCATACAGAACTCCCATTGTGGTCATGAATCATCTTCTGTCTATCAGATAATGTTAATATCCCTGTTTAAGTTGCATTGTAATCACATTATAGCAAAGTTAAAGCACGGGGAAGAAAAAAAGATATTTTATATAGTTAGGACGTCGAATTGTAGGCCTAGTCTATAAAAATCAATTGGTGTATTTCATAATTCAGTAAAATACAGCTTCAGGAAAAAGTGAAAGTGAAACTAGTAACATTTAACAACTTATTGACTGACAGTACTCCAATAATATGGTAGATGGAAACAAGACATTACTTTTTGTATCGTTTATTACGTCTTTTGAACACTCTAATAAACTCTTCTAAATTATTACACCTGAAGACGATCTCCCCTCCATAAAAACAGTATTAAGAGCATGACAATAAATTTCACAGCACTGCCTTTTTATCATTCCACAGCATGTATCTGTTTTCTTCACTCTCTCTCCCTCTCTCTCATACAAAAAAAGCTTTGTGAGACAAGGAACACCATAGAAATGTAAGCAGCACAAAAGCACCAAAGTTTAACACGGGGGTCATTTGCTTCCAATATTATCAAGAAATCAATCTTAAAAATTCAAGATTATCTCAGGCTTGTTGAGCAGTCAAGAAGCGAAGAGTTCCAGCTGCATTGTAGTTTTCGATCAGGAAAAAAATAGTTTGATGAACAATCTCTTGATAATATCTGTCACAACTGACTTCAATGTCTTTTTAAGCAGGTTTAAAATCATTTCTGTACAGCTACAAGGCTCTGCTCATGCGGCCTCTGTGGGTGTCAAATGAAAAAAAGATCCCAGTTCATAACAATATCTATGTAGGGAGATACTGTAGTTCTGTATTTGAATATCAAGTAAAACATTTAAGTATTGAGGATTTTTTTTTTACATATTTAAGTGGCTAAACTGCAAAAGTGAATGTCTTACACTAGTCTTATATGAAATGCATACAGACATAAAAAACTATTTCCTTGGAAACCATGACAGTTTCTTCACAACCAACAATATGTGATACCGTTACTTGAGGTGCTCATACATGAGATTCAGGTCATGATTACATCACACCTGGGGTTATGTTTCTGAATGAACATCAGCACATATCTTATACTGTACATGTAGGCATTCACTGTTCAATAAAGAAGTTATACTTGATGAAATCAGCAAAGGTAAGGTCACTTGAAACTACACACAAGATCACCTAATGGGCATTTGATGCATGACAAAAAAAACAAAAAAAAAAAGTTTGACATTTTCAACCAACAAAGTCACCCCACAATGAGGAAATACCCTTTCTCTGCAAGGATGTTTTCGGACTTTGCTTACTGACCAGACTGACGCACATGCAAAGCTTTAACAACATATTACACAGCAGTGACAAGAGAAGTGGGAAGAACAAGATAAAGAACTAAAAATAAACTAAAAAAAGGGGACACTAAACCTTTGGTTGACAGAAAGCTGTGAAGGCACATTAAAATCTCCTCCTAAATCCTTCAAACTGGGGCACGTTACGTTGGCGTTTGTCACTTTAACGCTGCGCAATATCGCAGATGCTGTAAAACTGGAAGTCGGGGAGGAAATTTCACAACAAAAAAAAACTACATGGGTTGCTGATAGCAGTTGATTACTACTGTAGGCAAACACTATCTCACATAAAGTGTCAGACAAAAATGGCACGGATACAACAGCCAGGGATCGGGTGTAATAAATGACAGGATTCCTGTAAGCCAAATACTTATCTGGGGACTGATAACAGAAACCAAAAAGGGGGGAGAAGTGAAAATGAAGGGAATACAGGCACAAATGTCCTACATGACTTGAAATAATGGATACAGGTTACTTTGAAATAAAGCGTGGGACCAAAAATGATTTTTTTTAAAAATCACTCAAGCCATGCTGATAAACATTCCTGTGATTTACATTTTGAACCACGTAGTCATTAAATCTGTAGGTTCCAACAACTGACAGCTTTTTAATCTTGGAATGTTTATGTACTGAGTAATAAAATGTAATCCCGCTTAAATTAAGATCTCAAATGCCACTGTAGGTGTATAATTAAGAACGTGCCATTTTAGCCCCATCATGAATTAAACTGAAAGCTAATCGTTTCACTGTTTCTCATTAATCGTTTACAGCTCCAAACCAGAGAGAAAACACACTCAAGTTGCCACACGGCTCTTGTATGAATAGCTCTGTCAATCACCTGGGGAATGGAGAGGAAAAGTTCACACCCATGTTTTATGCTTGTGGCATAACTGACTTTTTCATGCTTGGATTGACTCGACCTGAAAGCCCTCACCAAATACTGCCATCCAAAAATCCTTTTATTCTCTGCTATGATACATCAGCGTTGGCCACCGTTCATTTCCCCACCCGTGTATGCCTGGGAGCGGTAATCCAGATACTCTTATTCAGTGGAACAGATTCTCAAAGTCTCCTCCCTGGATTCTTACTTTTTTGTTTTTTAGGGTCCATTTTTCCATTCCTCCTCTATGAAATCCCTCTTCCTCCCTCCCTCACTCTCTCTGTCTCTCTCTCTGCGCTCGGGTCCAACTGGCCACAGCTGGAGAACTCCATCACGCAAGCATCGTGATCATCATCATCATCATCTCCTGAGCCCACTGCTGGAGGGGCCCCGGCCAACGCTGCTGCAGCGTTGATTGCAGGGCGTGGCGCTAGCTGCCTTTAAACATCAAACTACTGGTCCATTTCCACTCAACAAATACCCATTCACTAGAGAGCCTGTACTGTAATATAAACCATGTGCTAGGTGCACTGTCTTCTAACTTGACACTGACCATACATTTGGAAACAAGCTGGATTCCCCAAACTAGGAATCATTTTAACAATTGGCTAGGAAATTCACCATCCTTTACCAGAACTGAGCTGTAAGGAACCGTTTCCTTGAAAATCCTTGATGTTTATGCGCCGGCCAGGCCTCAATAAACATGACCCTCTGGGTGACCCTTGAATCCTCAATCTCTCTCT